TTCTCCATCTTTCATCTGTTTCTGGAAGAGGGTTAGGGTTAATTTCTCTGGGGTTGTTGATTGTAGGCTGGGTATTTTTTGCTTTATGTCTGGTATCCACTTATGAGTGAGTGCATACTATATTTGTCTTTCTGGTTTTGGGTTACCTCACTCAGGATGGTTTTCTTTTCTTTTTCTAGTTGTGTCCATTTGCCTGAGAATTTCAGGATGTCATTATTTTTTTTAACCGCTGAGTATTACCCCATTGTGTAAACATACCACATTTTCTTTATCTATTCTTCAGTTGAGGGACATCTAGGCTGTTTCTAAGATCTGGCTATTACAAATAATGTTGTTATGAACACAGTTTAGCAAATGTCCTTATGGTGTGAATGTGCCTCCTTTGGACATATGCCCAACAGTGGTATTGCAGGGTCTTGAGGAAGGTTGACCCCTAATTTTCTGAGAAATAGCTATACTGATTTCCACAGTGGCTGGACAAGTTTTCACTCCCACCAGCAATGGAGGAGTGCTCTGCTTTCTCCACATCCTCCCCAGCATAAGCTGTCATTGGTGTTTTTGATCTTAGCTATTCTGATTCTGCATTTCCTTAAGTGTCTTTCCACCATCTGAGATTGTTCTGTTGAGAATTCTCTGTTTAGATCTATACCCCATTTTAAAATTGGATTACTTGGTGTTTTGGTGTCTAGTTTCTTGAGTTCTTTGTATATTTTGGGGACCAGCTCTCTGTCAGATGTGGGGTTGGTGAGGATCTTTTACCATTCTTTAGGGAGCCGTTTTGTCTTGTTGACAGTGTTCTTTGCTTTATAGAAGCATCTCAGTTTTAGGAGTTGCCACATATTAATTGTTGCTCTCAGAGTCTATGCTACTGATGTTCTGTTTAGGAAGTGGTCTTCTGTACCTATGCATTCAAATGTATTTCCCAATTTCTCTTCTATGAGGTTCAGTGTGGATGGATTTATATTGAGGTCTTTAATCCATTTGGACTTGAGCTTTGTGCATGGCGATAGACATGGATCTATTTTCAGTCTTCTACATGTTGACAGCCAGTTATTCCAGCACCATTTATTGAATATGCTTTCTTCTTTCCATTTTATATTTTTAGTTTCTTTGTCAAAAATTAGTTGTTCATAGGTGTGTGGATTAATATCAGGGTCTTAAATTCCATTCTGTTGGTTCACCTGTCTATTTTTGTGCCAATACCAAGCTGTTTTCAGAACTATAGCTCTAGAGTAGAGCTTGAAGTCCAGGATGGTGATGCCCCCAGATGATCCTTTATTGTACAGGATTGTTTTGTCTATCCTGGGTTATTTGTTTTTCCATATGAAGTTGAGTATTATTATTTGAGGTCTGTGAAGAATTGTACTGGGATTTTGATGGGGATTGCACCAAATCTGTAGATTACTTTTGGTAAGATTGCCATTTTTACTATGTTGATCCTACCTATCCAAAAACCTCAATTGGATAGGGAGATCTTTCCATTTTCTGGTATCTTCTTTAAAGACTTGAAATTCTTGTCATATAGGTCATTCACTTGTTTGGTTTGAGTTACCCCAAGATATTTTATGTTGTTTGTGGCTATTGTAATGGGTGATGTTTCTCTGATTTCCTTCTCAGTCCATTTATCATTTGTATATAAAAGGGCTACTTATTTATTTATTTATTTATTTTGAGTTAATCTCATTCTCTGCTACGTTACTGAAGGTGTTTATCAGTTGTAGGTGTTCTCTGGTAGAATTTTTGGCAACACACATATACTATATCATTAGCAAATAGTGTTTGATTTCTTTTCAATTTGTATCCCTTTGATCTCCTATTGTAGTTTAATTGTTATTGTTAGAACTTCAAGTACTATGTTGCATAGATATAGAGAGTGGACAGCCTTGTCTTGTTCCTGATTTCAGTGGGATTGCTTTGAATTTCTCTCCGTATAGTTTGATGTTGGCTGTTGGGTTACTGTATATTGCCTTTATTATGTTTAGGTATGTTTCTTGTATTCCTGCTTTCTTCAAGACCTTTATCATGAAGGAGTGTTGAATTTTGGCAAAGGCTTTTTCAGCATCTATTGAGATGACCATGTGGTTTCTTTTCTTTCAGTTTGTTTATATGGTTGATTACATTGATGGATTTTCTTATGGTGAACCATCTCTGCATTTCTCGGATGAATCCTACTTGGTCATGGTGGATGATTTTTCTGATGTGTTCTTGAATTCAGTATGCCAGTATTTTATTGTGTAGTTTTACATTTATGTTCATGAGGGAAATTGGTCTGTAATTCTCTTTCTTAGTTGTGTCTTTGTGTGGTTTGTGTATCAGGGTAACTGTAGCCTCATAAAAAGAGTTTGGCAGTGTTCCTTCTGTTTCTATTGTGTGGAATAATTTGAGGAGTATTGGTATTAGATCTTCTTTGAACATCTTGTAGAATTCTGCACTGAATCTGGCTGGGCCTGGACTTTGTTGTTGTTGTGAGACTATTGATAACTGTTTCTATTTCTTTACGGGTTATAGGTGTATTTCAGTTGTTTATCTGTTCTTGATTTAATTTTGGTATGTGGTACTCATATAGAAAATTCTTCATCTTCTTAAAGTTTTCCAGTTTTGTGGAGTACAGGTTTTTGAAGTATGACCTGATGATTCTCTGGATGTCCACAGTGTCTCTTTTTATGTTCCCCTTTTTGTTTCTGATTTTGTTGATTTGGATATTCTATCTCTCTCTTTTGGTTAGTTTGGATACAGCTTTGTCTGTTTTGTTGAATTTTTTAAAGAACCAACTCTTTTTTTTTCTCATTGATTCTTTGCATTGTTTTCTGTGTTTCTATTTTCTTGATTTCAGCCCTCAATTTGACCATTTCTTGCCATCTACTCCCTCTGGATGAAACTAATTTTTTTTTTTTTTTTTTTTTTTTTTGTTCTATTGCTTTCAGTTGTTCTGTTAATTCACTAGTGTGGGATTTTTCCAGCTTCTTTATGTAGGCATTTAGTACTATGAACTTTCTTTTTCAGCACTGCTTTCATTGTTTCTATAAGTTTGAGTATGTTGTGCAGTCACTTTCATTAAATTTTAGGAAGTCTTTTATTTCTTTCTTTATTTCTTCCTTGACCCAGTGGTAGTTCAGTTGATCATTGTTTAATTTCCATGTATTTGTGGGCTTTCTGAAATTAATGTTGCTGTTGAATTCTAACTTTAAGCTGTGGTGATCTGATACGGTACAGGAGTTTGTTGCAATTTTTTGCATCTGTTGAGGTTTGCTTTGTTAGTGGGTATGTGCTCTATTTTTGAGAAGGTTCCATCAGGTGCTGAAAAGAAAGCATATTCTTTTGTTTTGGGGTGGAATGGTCTATAGATGTCTAACCTCTGCTAGTTCCCACATTTTTCTGTTAAGCTTCTGTCTGGCAGATCTCTCCAGTGATGACAGTGGGGTGTTGAAGTCTCCCACTATTAGTATGTGGGGCTTCATTTGTGATTTAAGATTTAGTAATGTTTCTTTTACAAAACAGGAACCCTTGTGTTTGGGGCATAGATGTTCAGAATTGAGAAATCCTCTTGATGGATTTTCCCTGTGATGAATATGAAATGCCATTTTTAATGTTTTTTGATTGATTTTAATTTGGAGTCTATTTTAGTAGATATTAGGATAGTTACACCAGCTTGTGTTTCTTAGGTCCATTTGATTGGAAAATTTTTTCTAAACCTTTTACTTAGAGGTAATGGCTGTCTGTGAGTTTGAGGTGTGTTTGTTGTATGTAGCAGAAGGATGGATTCTGTTTTTGTATCCAATCTGTTAGCCTGGTGTCTTTTTTATAGGTGAATTGAGACCATTTATATTAATGGGTATTAATGACCAGTGATTGCTAGTTCCTGTTATTTTTGTTTTTGGTGGTGGTGATGGCCCTGTGTGTTCAATTCCCTTCTTTGAGGTTTGCTGCTGTAAGTTCATGTATTTCCTAGGTTCTTGTGGATGTGGGTGATTTTCTTGGTTTGGCATTTTCCTTCTAGTACTCTTTGTAGGGCTGGGTTTGTGGATAGGTATTGTTTAAATTTCGGTTTTATCACGGAATACCTTGTTTTCTCCACCTATGGTTATTGAAAGCTTTGCTGGAAAAAGTAGTCTGAGTTGGCATCTGTGGTTCCTTAGTGTCTGCATAACATCTGACCAGGACCTTCTGGCTTTCATTGTTTCCATTGAGAAGTCAGGCATAATTCTGAAAGGTCTGCCTTTATATGTAACCTGGCCTTTCTCCGTTGCAGCTCTTAATATTCTTTCTTTATTTTGTATGTTTATTGATTTGATTATTATGTAGCGAGGGGACTTTCGTTTTCTCTGGTCCAGTCTATTTAGTGTTCTGTAGGCCTCTTGTGTTTTCATAGACATGTCTTTCTTTAGTTTGGGGAAGTTTTCTTCTATGATTTTATTGAATATATTTTCTGTGCCTTTGGGTTGGATGTCTTCTCCTTCTAGCCCTATTAGTCTTAGGTTTGGTCTTTTCATGGTGTCTCAGATTTCCTGCATGTTTTGTGTTAAGGATTTGTTGGATTTAAAATTGTCTTTGACTGATGAATCAATTTCCTCCAAATTACTTCAGAGCTTGAAATTCTCTCTTCCATCTCTTGTATTCTGTACTCGTGGTTCCTGATCTTTTACCCAGGTTTCCCATTTCTAGAATTCCCTAGGTTTGTGTTTTCTTTATTGCCTCTATTTCAGACTTCATGTCTAGAATTGTTTCCTTCACTTGTTTGATTGCTTTATATTGGTTTTCTTTAAGGGACTTGGTAATATCTTCCAATTATTTGTCTCTTCCTCCATTTTTTTTTTCAAGACAGAGTTTCTCTGTATTGTTTTGGAGTTTGTCCTGGAACTCGCTCTGTAGACCAGGCTGGCCTTGAACTCACAGAGATCCGCCTGCCTCTGCCTCCAGAGTGCTGGGATTAAAGGCGTGCGCCACCAAGGCCCGGCTTCCTGCATTTCTTTAAGAGATTTTTTTCATTTCCTCTTTAAGGGCTTCAATCATCCTCATAAAGTTAATTTTTAGGTCATTTTCTTTTGCTTCATCTGTGTTGGGATGTTCAGGTCTTGCTGTATCACCACTAGTTTTTAGTGATGCTGTATTGCTCCTTATATTGTTGAGTGAGTTCTTACCTTGTCTATGCATCTCTTTCTCCAATTGGTATGGTTGGGAGCTGTGGCTCCGTTGACCACTCCTTCAGGCACAAGTAGAGCAGAGCTTCCGTTGAAAGCGCCTCCTGGTGGAAGTGCATCCAATGCTTAGGTAGTTACCCCTTGAGGTGCAGGTGGGGCTGTGGCCCAGGTGGATGCTCCTCCTGTTGGAGGTGTAGATGGGGCTGAGGCTTCAGTGGTCAACGTATTAGAGGGGTATCTTCAACCGACAAATGGCAGTGGATGCTGGCTGGGACACAGGTGCTCTTTCCCAGAGGAACTTTTTGCTATAGCTTCTGGAAGCTACTACTGGATACTGCTACTGTCATTTCACCCGGTGATCAGTCCTTGCTCCTGGGCCTGAAGCTTGAACCTCCCTCTGACACTGTTTCCGGGTCTGAGACTCGTGTCTCCCTTCACAATGCTCTGGCCTGAAGCTCTGACCTCCCTCTGAAGCTGCTCCTGGGTCTGAGACGTGGGGCTCCCTTCTCATGCAAGCCTTTTAACCCAGCACTCAAGAGGCATGGGCAAGGGAAACGGTGAGTTCCAGGCCAGCCAGCTCTACATAGTGAGTCTAGGACAGTTGTAGGTACACAGAGACATGACAAGGGGATGTGGAAAAGCCCACTATGTCTCAATCCTACACAGAGAATTACAGTCAACTGGGGGATGCTGGGAGCAGGAGAAAGTCTCCCCCAGGGAAGAGCACACCAACTGCTTACTCCATACCAAATGGTCAGCATTAAAAACATGCATACAAGTAACATTTGGATTGAGTAGGTATTTACAAATATATATGTATACACAGACATATATGTATACAATAACAATGAAAAAGATGCCATGAGTTTGAACATTAGCAGAGATGTTAGATGGGAGGATTTGTCTCCAGCAAAGCAAGAGGAGAAATGTTCTAATATAAAATTTCAAAATTAAAAATGTAAAAAAAAGCAAAACAAAAAGAAAACAAATGAATGAACAATGACAAACCCAGCCTAAAACCAAAACACACAAACAAGTTATACACATATGCAGACGAGGACTCCGTTAAGCTTTCGTGAGGCCCTAGATGTAATGTCGGTCATCAGGTATAGAAATGATAACTAATGTTGGCAAACCTTTGAGGAAAGAAGGTCAAACACTGCTGTGGCAGTGAGAACTGGAGAAGGAACTTTGAAAATTATTTTAGATAACTATTTGAGATGTCCCACCCCCAAATATAGTGTGGCACACACACTGATGTGTGACGCTGTTCCTGTGCAAACAATATCTACTTACCACAGATCAGGAACCAATGACAAACCAAAGCTGGGAAAACAACAAAGTCTAACTTGGTGAACCAATGAGTTTTTTGTTTTTTTTCTGCATGTATATCTGTGTTCCTGTGTTCCTGGTGCTTTCTGAGGAAAGAAGGCATTGGATGCCCTGGAGTTGACGACATAGATTGAGTGAGCATGGGAGGGTGCTGGGAATTCAAAGCGAGTCTCCTGAAAGAGCAGACAGTGCTCTTAACCACTGAGTCAACTCCAAACCCAAGTGCTATACGTAAGAGAATGGGACATTGGATAATGTATGCTAAAGGTTTAACTGGGCAGTCCTGGAACTCACCTCCATAGGCATCTTGCCTATGCCTCCTGAGCGCTGGGATTAAAGGCATGCACTACCTAGCCTGGCATTACTATGAATTCTTGAATGTTGAACAAGATAAACAGTTTTTAGGTTGTCTTGTTTTGCTTTTGTTTTTGAAGACAGGATTTCATTATGTGACATCCTTGGCTGTTCTGTATCTAGCTGTGTAGACTACGATGGCCTCAAACTCACATGTGTCCACCTGTATCTGCCTTCCCAGTGCTGGGATTAAAGGCATGTGCCACCATCATTGCTCAGCTAAGAGAAATGATTTTATTATAGTTTACCTAGGAGCTCGGGATATGATTTAGTGGGAAAGAGCACTGCTGCTCTTCCAGGGGACCAGGGTTCGATTCCCGGCACACACACAGGAGGTCACAATTGTCTAGAATCTTATGTCCTCTTCTGGCATTCACAGGCACCAGGCAAACATGCAGTATATAGAAAGAGTTGCAGGCAAAGCACCCATACACAATTTTTTTGTGTGTGTGTGTTTTTATTAATTCAGTTACTACTGCAGAATTTTATTTTGATCTAAACTCTGAGACATTTTATAAGTTTTAAAATTTCATTAAAGGCTTTTCATAAGTTTCTTATCTTTTTTTAATAATTTTGCACCCTCAAAGTCCTGTTTTTTTTTAAAAAAACAATTTATTTTATTTTATATACATTGGTGTTTGCAAGTATGTCTGTATGAGGGAATCAGATCCCTAGAAGAGGAGCTCCAGACAGCCGTGAGCTGCCATCTGGGTGCTGGGAATTGAACCCGAGTCCTCCGGGGGGAGCAGCCAGTGCTCTTAACCCTAGAGCCATCTCTCCAGCCCCCAAGTTTCTTATCTTTATGCTTCCTTTATGGACACTGTTGGCACTTATGAGCTGCGACTACAAAAAAGAACGCTATGTCACATTATTTGCCACAGATACTTTTCTCTGTGGTGTGAACTCTCTGATGCCTTCTAAGATTGGAAAGGTGGATATAAGACATGTCACAGTCTTTGCATTTGTGGAGTGTCTCTCCAGTGTGGATTTTCTCATGTGCTCTGAGGTAGGAGCACCTAGTAAAGGATTTGTCACAGTCCTTACATTTGTAAGGTCTCTCTCCTGTGTGGACTCTCTGGTGTGTTCTGAGATTTGACAAGTGAGCAAAGGATTTGTCACATTCCAGACATTTGTAAGGCTTCTCTCCAGTGTGAAGTTTCTGATGCCTTTTAAGATTCGATATCTGATTAAAGGACAGGTCACAGTCTTTGCATTTGAAAGGTTTCTCTCCAGTATGGATTTTCTGATGTATTTTAAGACTAGAAATCCGTAGAAAGGACATGTCGCAGTCTTTGCATTTGTAGGGTTTCTCCCCAGTATGAGTTTTCTGATGTGCTCTAAGATATGAGCATGTGGTAAAGGACTTGCCACATTCCTGACAGCTGTAAGGTCTCTCTCCAGTGTGGACTCTCTGGTGTGTTCTGAGATGTGAGTTATGGGTAAAGGACTTGTCACATTCCACACATTTGTAAGGTTTTTCTGCAGTATGAGTTTTCTGATGTGCTCTAAGAGTTGAGAGCGTGGTTAAAGATTTGCCACAGTCCTTACACCTGTAAGGTCTCTCTCCAGTGTGGACTCTCTGATGCGTTCTGAGATTTGATTGCTGGAAGAAGGATTTGTCACATTCTGCACATTTGTAAGGTTTCTCTCCAGTATGAATCTTCTGATGTTCTCTAAGAGCTGAGCACTCGGGAAAAGATTTGCCACATTCCTTACAGCTGTAAAGTTTCTCTGCAGTGTGAACACTCTGATGTCTTCTAAGATGTGAGCACTTGGTAAAGGACTTGTCACATTCCCTACATTTATAAGGTTTCTCTCCAGTGTGAATTTTTTGATGTGTTTTTAGAGTTGAGTTCACAGTAAAGGATTTGTCGCACACCTCACATTTGTAAGGCTTCTCTCCAGTGTGGATTCTGTAATGCCTTTTAAGATGTGATAATTCAAGGAAGGACTTACCACATTCTTCACATTTGTAAAATGTCTCTAAAGAGTGAGTTTTCTGATGCCACCTAAGTGATGAATAGTGCGCAAAGGCTCTGTCACACTCAGTGCACTTGTAAGGCTTCTCTCCACTGTGGAGTCTGTAATGTCGCCTGAAGTGTGACAGCTGATGGAAGACCTTGCCACATTCTTGACAACTGCAATGTTCCTCATCGCTATGGATTTTCTGATGTGTCCTGAAACTGGAGCAGTGGGCAAAAGACTTGCCGCATTCCTTACATTTGTAAGGCTTCTCTCCAGTATGTATTTTCAGATGGCTTTTAAGAGCTGAGGACTGCCGAAATGACTTTCCACATTCTTTGCATTTGTAAGGTTTCTCTCCAGTATGAAGTCTGTGATGTATTCTAAGATTTGCAAATTGGTTATAGGATTTGCCACAAATGTTGCACTTGTAGGGTTTCTTTCCACTGTGAATTCTCCGGTGTACAGAGAGGCTTGAGGCAGTCCTGAAACATTTCCTGCACTTTTCACACTGGTGTGGTTTCTCCCCAATGTAGATTGGTAGTTGCAAAAGACTGTATGTAGACATAAAATAGTCCTCATATTCTCCCTGCCTGTGCTCTTTCTCTGCAGTGTAGACTCTCTGATCTTGAGTCATGTTGGAACACAAATTTACAGATTTCTCACAGTCTTTAGAGCTGCAAGGTTCTTCTCCAGTGTGCCTGCTTTCACGTCTGTCTGGGTTTGATGAGTCACCAGAGGCATCCCTGGGATTACTGCATGTGTAGTTACTGGAGTTTTCTGTAGTTTCACTTGTTCTATAAAGTGCACATGTGGCGGGGTCATGAAGCACTTTGCCAAGCTCATTACACTGACAGGACTCCTTTTCAGTCTTCACATGGTGATGGACAGGATCACACTTGCAATAGTTCTCTGAAAATGAGGACACTTCAGATTAATAGGGCTTGTTCCAATAATAAACATGTGATAAATGATGGTATCCATAAGCTCTCTCTTAAGATAAGTCAACTAGAAACTACTTAGACATCTTTCTTTCACTGTAATTTTTGTATTCTCACAAAAAACAGCCTGACAGCCTCCAAGGGTCTGTGATTAATAATAGATATCTCATCATTATAAAAAATGTCTAACAGTACAAGATGGATCAAATAATTAAGGAATCAGCAATTAGCTTTGGGACTCAGCTTACTGATTGATTGTATTTAGAAAACATGTCTCTACTTTTAAATATTTCTTCTCAGAAATTGATGAAGAAGAGTTTGATACAATCTCAGGTTCACAGTGCTTCTACTTACTAAGTGAGAGGCAATGAAGAGCACTGTTCTGAAGACCCAATTCCTTCAAAGATTAAAGACTTACTTAAAAGCATCACAGGGTTTCTTTTTCTTTCTTGAAAAACACATTAGATTGTTTGAAAGTAATGGATGCAAAGATATTATTCTGCCAGACATCAGAGGCTCTAGATCTGTACACTGACTCTTGAGATTATTTCCCAGAAGACTGTCTGTGTACTTATCATGGGGAAGAAAATGAAGGATGTAGCATGAGATATGCATACAAGGAAGGCAATTACAGAACAAGCCTATTCCATGGAGTCACTTTAGACTTAAAATTTTGTCAAATTATTCCAATGCAATTTCAGCACAGTCAAATAAAATTGCATTTTGTACTAGTATTTAGTCACGATAATTCAGCTGTAATAAGACACAACAGACAGCATGCATCCTGGGGCCAGGACACTACACTAAGTTAAATGATCAGGAATCCTTTCAAGTAGAATTGAACATCACAAAAAAATTCTCAGCTCTTGTTTTCTCTTTTACCTGAAGCCATCAATGTTGTCCTTCTCATTCACAAGCCCACCCTGTGGTGGCTACTCTCTCCTCTCCACATTGCAGGGCAATTTCATTCTTTCCAGACAGGTGACCAGGCCTACCTTGCATACAATAATCCAAGTGTTCTGTGAGGTAGCCCATGATTCATGTTAGAATTTTCAGAAATAGTACAGAAGTCAAAAACGATACTATGTTCAGTACAAGAAGGAACGCACAGCAGGGTAATCTAGAAATGACTTCCAAATTGCTATTTCCTCTCAGAATCTTCAGCATATTTAGGGAGAGGTTTTTTTTTTTTTTTGTTTTTTTTTTTTTTTTTTTTTTTTTTTTTGGGAATTGAACTGAGGACTTCTGGAAGAGCAGCTAGTGCTCTCAACCTCTGAGCCATCTCTGCAGCCCGACTTTTAAGTTTTTATATCCAGTTTTTTTTTTCTCAGAATTAAAACCATGTCAGGTACAAAGATGGACATGGAGCTCCTAATATATGGGCATGACTTCTATACGATACTAAGTTTCTGAATGAATTGTGGAACCAAAGTGAGTAGTGCATTTTCCTCTAACATGGAAAATGGAAAGAAAAAATTAAATTGCCTGAAATCATTCTTTCCTACTACCAAACTTTGCCTGGTCTCCTGTGGTTTCCGTGACAGCTTAACAGAGAATTTACAACCTACAGTGCTAGTACATACAAAGCATGAGTTAGGAATTCTAGAAGCAAAATGTTCTCACCCACAGACACCAAGTTGCTGTAATTCTCCAACATTACATCAATGTACAAAGCCCTCTGAGCAGAGTCCAGGCATTCCCACTCCTCCTGGGGGAAGTCCACAGTCACATCCCTGAATGTCAACACACCCTAAAATGAGAAAGTACAGTTTGACCACGTGATCCCAGGAACAGTGCTTTCCTTGACATAAGGAGACTTGAGGAAATTATAAATGTAAATGAGTGAAGACAATTAGTCAAAAAAAAAAAAAAAAAAGATTTCTCATATAGTGACATTGTATAATGGATTTTCTAACTCTGTGAAAATAGGATGACAAATAGTCTCACAAGCAATATACACAAAACAACAGACATATAAGGTCTGGATACAGTTATATATCTGGTATGGATGCTGTGTTTATTATGATCACAGTGTACATGCCTCAGAAGGAAAATGGTGATGAGGAAACATGCTTTAAGCGCTGTACCTGTAGATCACGCAAAACGTTTACACACTTAATCAATTCTGTGCATTCTTCTGCCTTAAGTGATTGTATTATAACATGCTCAGTTCATATGTTTAAACTGTAGGTCCAATGTCATTTCATTAAAAAGAAAGTTGTAGAAGGGAGAATTCATGTCTTGCTTTATAGGCAAAGAATTTTGGGTTTTTTCCCATGGTAACGATGAGTCTAACAGCTCTGTATACTGTCAATTTAAACACTAACATATTAGATCAAGTAGTCTATAGGGTTTTTTGTTTGTTTGTTTTCTTTTTTCTTTTTGGTTTTTTAAGACAGAAACTCTGTGGCTTCGGAGGCTGTCCTGGAACTAGCTCTTGTAGATCAGGCTGGGCTTGAACTCACAGAGATCCACCTGCTTCTGCCTCCTGAGTGCTGGGATTGAAGGTGTGTGCCACCATCACCCCTGGCTATAGGATTATTTTTATAAGGATATTTGAGTCCCAACCAAGCAGATAGAAAAATCCGCATCAGCCACATTTAATATAATCTAAAATTTTACTAAAAAACGGGCATAAGGCAACTTAGATAAATAACAATTTCAGAAGCTCTGAAGGAAATTTCACTCCACAAGAGTTACAAAAATTGAGGGAAATCCAAAATCCACATCAAATAGTGTTTTACGTTGCAGCTAAGCGTGTACATGTACATGTAAGTGCAGCTACTGTGGATGCATTCAGAAGTGACATAGACTTCCTGGGAATAAGCGAATATATTGAATTCTGTGAGAATTATACTCACTTTTAGTGCTTTGCAAATAAAATATAGCACAGAAGAATGGCTCAGAAGAAAATCTGACTGCTGTGCCTGAATTTTGTAGTACTTAATGTCCCTCCACCTGCTTTTTAAAAAAGATTTTATTTACTTATTATGTATAGAACATTCTGCTTCCATGTATATCTGCACACCAGAAGAGGGCACCAGATCTCATAACGGATGGCTAAGAGTCACCATGTGGTTGCTGGGAATTGAACTCAGGACCTCTGGAAGAGCAGTCAGTGCTCTTAACCTCTGAGCCATCTCTCCAGCCCTTAATGTGTCCCTTTTATTACTTATGTTGTATTGTACGGTAGAGAATCTATACCAGCAACATTTTAGATAAGGGCTCATACCTGGAATTTACAGAGAATCATACCAAGGAAATAAAACTGCCAATCAACCAATGTGCAAATGACTTGAGGAGACACTTTTTAAAGACAGAAACACAAATGGCCAATAAGTATGGCAAGTCTTCAGGATCCCTAAAACAGCACCATGGAAAACACAAACTAAAACTACTTTGAGATGCTGCCTCATCCCAGGAAGAATGGCTGCCATCAGCTAAGCTGACAACAAATGATGGAGAGGATGTGGAGAGAAAAGAACCATCACTAACAGTTGGTATGTGAGGGGGAGTGTAAATAAATATACACTCCCCCACATTGTGGGCATCTGATTGGAGATGATTGAAAAAAATCGAAGATAGACCTAATATATGACCCAGCGATGTCACTCCTGAGAATACGACCAGAGAACTGCATACCCCAGTACAGAGACAGTTACACCCCGGGTTCACTGTTCCATTATTCATCATAGCATAGGTTTGCAGTTAAGCTAATTGTCTATCAACAGGTGTAAAATAGAAGGGCCTGAAATGTGTAATATGACGTGAGGCCATACAGTGTCAGGAAGAAGAAACCATTTCCCCACCTACGCAGAATCTAGCCAACAATCTGTATACCTGTGGGCACAGCAGAATGTGGAGAGAAGAGAACAAGAAAGGTTACATATCAGGGAGGACTGCATGCAGGTCATGAACACAAGTTATGAATAAGTATATAAAGCTAAGCGCTTTTCTAGCTTTAATTCTGTCAGTTGTTTTTTCTTTCTTTCTTTTTTTTTTTTCTTCTGGTTTTTCGAGACATGGTTTTTCTGTGTAGCTTTGGAGCCTATCCTGGCACTCTCCCTGGAGACCAGGCTGGCCTTGATTTTTTTCTTTTTGTAGTAGACAAGTTCATAAAAGTATATTTGATAGGGAAAATCTGAAATCCCATGTGAGGCTCCAGAGCTTCCTTTCCCTATGTCTGCTCTAACTGCAGAAAGAACATTGCATTGCACACTCTTTAGGGCTGGTTAATTGCACAGTGTGATGTTGTTTTTGTTGTTTGTTTGAATGTTTTTCATAATATTTACAAAACTATCAGAAGCAGATAATTAAAAGCTTGAAATGTCAGAATATATAACAGTCCTAGAAAAAGAGTGGACATGCCCACTGACCTGGGACATATTTACTGGAGAATCAGTCATTTCTTTCTGTTTCTCTTCTTTGAGTTTCTCTTTCAGGAACAATGCATAGATGGCTTGCTTTGCTGTCAAATAAAGGGGTCAAAAGGAAAAAGCAAAAGTTAATACTGAAAGCTTAAAGAACAATGTAAAACCACATGAAAAGACCCTAGCAACAGAATACACCAGGTGTGTGGTCAGTAATACCAAAGCCAGAAGACCATGGACTGACATTTGTAGCTTGGAGGAAAAAAAATCACTATCAATCATATGGTTTCATCCAGAAAAACTCTATATTAAAACTGCAATTCAAGATATTTTTGAAGTAAAACAATTCATTTCAACAAAGCAGGACAGCAAACAATATATCAAAGGTAAAATAGATACAAAAAATTAGAGGAATCATCCATGAGAACACGGGAAATAATAAATCTCATGTGAAGGACAGATAGATACAGGACAAATGGGGAGTAATTATCCATTGGTAAGACGGCAAATCACTAAACCCACAGAGAAGGAAGAAAAACACTGCCAATAATCCAAACAACAATGACATCAAAAACAAAAGCATAGGGAATAAAAGCTCCATCAACAAATATCTAGCCATTCTAAAAATCAATATAGAGAATCTTCAATTAATTAAATATAGCATATGACCCAGCTGTTCCACTCCTTGGCATATGCTCAAAGAATTCAATTTACAGATAATTGCTCAGCCACAGATAATTGCTCTACTCACAACAGCTACAGAAGGTAAACAACCTAATTGTCTGATGGGATATACCTCTCTCTTATTGGTTGATGAATAAATGCTGATTGGCCAGTAGCTAGGCAGGAAGTTTAGGCAGGTCTAGCAGACTAGGAGAATTCTGTCTCAAGACAGCGGTCGAAGGAGTAACATGCTGCACCATTATAGGTAAGCCACAGCCAAGTGGCAATACGTAGTTTAATAGAAACGGGTTAATAATTAAGAGAGAGCTAGCCAATAAGAAGCCTTAGCCATCGGCCAAACAGTTTATAATTAATATAAGTTTAGTGTGCTTATTTGGGACTAAAGGGCTGCTGGGACCTAGCTGGAAAGAAACTCTGTCTTCAACTGACAGATGGATAGTGAAAAATGTGGCCCGTATATACTATGCAATATTATTTACCTGTACAGAAAATTGAAATCATGAATTTTGCAGGTACATGGATGGACTTAGAAAAGATCATATTTAGTGAGGTCACCCAGGCGTAGAAAGACAGACAATGCATAAGGTTGTTAAACAGTCATAAGCATCTTCAATTAGTATAACTGCAATGCAGCTTCCAATCACAGCTGAGTCAAATCTCAAGGGGCACAAATGGAACTGAGTGATTGGGATGAGAACATCATACACTAGTGAGGTTCTGAATTTATCACGGACCCAATTTGACAGAAGCCTCACACCTTCCAAGGGACACACTGGAAGAAGAGAGAACATTCCATGTAGATTTTCTTTGTTCTTCTGGGGATTTCACTTCACTCCGTGAGACTCATTTACACAAAGCTCACACACTTGCAGAGTAATTTGCCAAGAAACTATTCAAGCAAACTATTCTCAACCACAGAAAACAGACTGCTGCAAGTCTGCAACATCCAGTCTCTGTACAAAGCCCTCAGGGCAGGGTCCAGGCATTGCCCACCCTCCTGGAAGAAGTCCACAGTCACACCACTGGCTGTCAACAGATCACAAAATAAAACACTGCAGTCTGAAGAGTTGTGTCGGTGCACACCTTTAATCTAAGCCCTGGGGAGACAGAGGTGGGTGTAAATCTGTAAATTCCAGTCCAGCTTGGACTACAAGTGGAGTTTTCATCCAGACAGAGTAACATAATGAACTCAGGACTCAAACACAGCAAACACAAGAACCAAAAAAAATAACAGTTTGGTTATGTGTCCCTGGGCAGATTCAAAAGATACTTTCGAATATTATCCTATACTATAATACCTTTTCATTTGTTTCTCTGTGTAGATATGACTGTCCTTAAACTCCCTCTATAGACCAGGCTGGCAAGGAACTCCCAAATTCACAGGCCTCTGCTTCTCAAATGCTGGGATTAAAGGCATGTGCCACCACCACCATGGACTTATAATGCCTTTCCTAACTGTGAAAATACTGTGACCTCATACCATCAAAAAGCATATTGTGCTTTTGCAGGCTCTAAGCTGCACATTAAGGACACAGCACAAAAATACACATTTCTTTTCTTTTTTTGCATTTCTTTTCTTTTCTTTTTTTTTTTTTTGAGACAGGGTTCCTCCGTAAAGCTCTGGCTGCCCCGGAACTCATTAGGTAGACCAGACTGGCCTCAAACTCACTGAGATCCACTGCCTCCCCCGTGGTGTGATTCAAGGTGTGTGGCACCAAGCTTGCAAAGACACTTTTCAAAATGCTCTGTGTACACCACAGCGTGTATTAAGTCTCAGATGACAATTTAATGTCGGCTACAAAGTTTACTCTTAAACGTTAATGTTTACAATCGTACCTATGGGACTCCCCAAAAAATAATAATTTCGGATCCAATTACATTTGCAGGCTTTCATGTCACGTCTGAAATATAAAAGCTCTCTGGGAGTACCAAATCTCTAGTTCTACGTGCCATTCTCTGGAATGGCGAAGCGGTTTGACACGAATGTTAGCGTGGATGAACGTAACGTTGAAGAGCTCTGTCCTTTCCACTACAGCAAAGAGAACCGTGTCTGCGAGCATCAACGCATAAATTCAAATAATCCAGTAGGTTACTTTTATGAGACTATCTGGCAATCAGAAGATCAACGGGAAAAAAACAAAACATCAGGATTGGTCCAGTTCATATGATCTAAAATACACCAGGGAAAGACATGCACAGCAGAATCTCGGAGCCGGCTTCCTGATGAGCAGCAGAGAAACCGCTCGCCCCCCCGCGCCCCCGCTCCTCCCTCCCTCCCATCCCCGCA